GGCGAGCGTTGCTAAGCTGGAAGCGCTTGAGCTTTTGGACGCTCGGTGGGCAGAGGGGAAGCAGGGGCCTCCTGGCGTAAACAACCGTGTAAATTGTCTTACTTCACTATGCCTGAACGGCAACTTTTAGCTACTCTCCCATTTCGCTAATTTATTGTTTGCAGGCCCTGCCTTAGCCTTTTATTGGCGTGTTCTTAGATCAGCAGACAACATGAGTTGGATCGTATTATGCAGGCGTTTGAAGGAGAGATAATATCAAGATCAGAGATCTGATCGAGAAATTAAAAGCGCCATGATCGCCGTAAATAGGGCAGCACTGAAAGTTTTAATGACTTTCTCGACGCGATGCTTTCCATTGCAGATTCTCTTAGGGAACCAATGCAGGATAGTGACATTGCAATCAGCTGTGGTGTTATTAAAAGAAAGCGCGTTTAGCACGTTTAGCAATTCGACCGTGCAATAAGATATCTTTAATGAACAGTAGGAGATCCGGTGCGTTTATAACGATTATTGGACATACCATCTGATCACCAACGAGCTCCAGGTATATTGAAGTCACCTAGAGTTACTAGTTGGTCTCTATCCGAAAGCATGTTGGAAAGGGCCTGAATTGCCAATAAATAGGCTCTTCAGCAGATGGAGGAACGTAAGAACAGGTTATATAGATAAAACTACCTGGAAATGATAGTTTTACACAGATAAATTCAATACTTGTGAGATCGTCAATTTGAACCAGTTCGGAAATAAGGGTGGAGTCAACGTGGAGAATCTCCGGCTTTAACCAGGTTTCAGTAAACACAATCACCTGGGATGCAAATGAAAAACTATCGGAATACAATTTCGAGTGCTTGCTGCGTAAGCCTCTAGTATTCTGATAGGAAAGTAGGAGGGAGGTATTTAGTTTGCTGGTCTTGAAGATCGTTTTTTCTTTATTTTTACCTCGTATTCCTTGACTACAGCGTGCTCGGGCCATAAGTCACCAGAACAAATTGTGCCAAAAAGATCGAGGGAGACACTTATCTTAAACGATGAGATGTCTCTGGGGTATGAAAAATTGAATTTTTCTACTTTCACATTTTTGGCTTGTTTTTTGCTCAGTATATGAGCTAGTACATCTTCCGATGCGAGGTCAGGGGCAAGCCGAGAAACAAATATTGTTTTTAATGGCAGCATTACCGACCAGCCAGTGGTCCGGCCCTTTTTTTGCCCTGTGGGATAGCTGAGATTTTTTTTGAAGTCTGCGGTGTCAGAGATTGAGACACCGCAGCGGACTCAACTGATAAAACTGGCGGAGCTGCTGCCATTACTGTCCAGGCACATTCGATTGCCGAATCATTTATTTTGATACTCCACCACCCCCTCCCTGACATCAAGCCGGCTCAACAACATATATAAAATTAAAATTTAACTGGAAAGCAAAATATATTATAATCAATTGGTAATCTTTAAACAATGATTTTTATTTTTTCACCTCTAATGAGTCGTCCTGCTTGCACTTGTGTAAAATCTTTGGAGCTGTTAAATCTTTAATGAAATCTCTAATGAATGCGGGAGTGTCATAAGACTATTACAAACGCCTCTTTGATGTTATTGTTTGTAGAACGAGGAAGACCTTTCCCTTTCCCACTGAAAACCTTAATAATTAAAAAAAATACTATATGCCAATTTAAGGGGGTTGACTTTGTGACGGTTTGCTCATTCCGGTGGCTCAAGGATGGCCAGGGTTCGTCTCAGAAATTTATTTGTTGTCTGAGGTGGTTGCTGAAAGAAATGCCGACCCGGTCCAAGAGTAGAACGCCGAGGAATATGCCGTAACTATAATTATATGTTTATTGCCTCGAATATTACAACTGTTAAAAAGATTGTATTTAGTCTGCTACCGCGGGTAGTCGCTCTGGAACGCCGCACTTCAGGGTCAGGTACATCCTTCCCGCTCGGTTCGAGAGTGTCGGTGAAACGCGGATGCCCCTCAGATCTCCTAGAGTGAGAAGAACTGGTGGAGGCCCTCAGGTCTACCAGTTAGTGGAATAACCTGTTAGGGGAGACCCTGAGGTCTTCCAGTTAGCGAGCCGATTTGTGGAGTCCCTAAGGTCTTCCAATCTAGGCTATGGTTAGTGAAGGCCCTAAGGTCTTTCAAGTTAGTGAAATATGCGGAGGCTCTAAGGTCTTCCAACAATAGAGAAGTGTGCAGAGGCCCTCAGGTCTTCTAACAATAGAGCAGTGGGTAGAGGCCCTAAGGTCTTCTATAGATTAGAGAAGTTTGTTAGAGGCCCTAAGGTCTGCTAAGATTGAGAAGTTTGTAGAGGCCCTAAGGTCTTCTAAAAGCGAGAAGTTGTTAGAGGCCCTTAGGTCTTCTAAGATTGAGAAATTTGTAGAGGCCCTAAGGTCTTCTAAGATTGAGAAGTTTGTAGAGGCCCTAAGGTCTTTTAAAAGAGAGAACTTGTTAGAGGCCCTAAGGTCTTCTAGGAAGGAGAAGTTTGTAGAGGCCTTCAGGTCTTCTAAGATGAGAAGTTGGTTAGAGGCCCTAAGGTATTCTAAGATTGAGAAGTTTATAGAGGCCCTAGGGTCTTCTAAAAGAGAAAAGTTTTAGGGCCTGTTTTCTAAGTTTGAGACGTGCACGGAGGCCCTAAGGTCTACCGAGATATATAGAGATCTATAGGGAGGCCCTTAGGTCTTCCAATATTGAGACTTACAGAGAGGCCCTAAGGTCTTCCACAAGTTATAGACGTAAGATATGGTCAGGGTCCGACTATGTGTTACCACTTACCAATATACCTTACTTAACCGTGCTCCTTGGGTGACTCCTTGCTGCTGGCTTACCCTTAGCTCCTCTTAGAGGACTTGGCCGATCGCTGGCCGAAAACTGAATGCCTCCCAAGGGCTGGAGCTCGCCTTATATAGCGCTCCGGTGCGGCCGAGTGTGACCGACTCGCCCGGAGAAATTTGCCATTAAGAGTGTGGCCAGATCCTTATTTGGCCAGTGTGGCCCTTTGCGCCTGATCATGGCGCGCGCGCGCATTCAATTCAAATCTATTCCATATTCCATATTCATAGTTTTCTATTGTATAATCTATTATCATCCTTATTTTATATCTTACGTATATATTTGTGCGCATCTGCGCGTCACAACTTTAACTTATGTACGTACTATAACTGCCTAAAAGAATTTTTCGATATTCGGTGTCGTTACAAAGTTACATCACTGAAAAGACATGCTCTTCAGAGCAGTTTACTCCTGCAACGATTTTTTTTTCATTTGTTTTTTCCAACTCGTCAACACGATTTCTTAAAAACGACTTTACCAATTGTCCTGAAATTTGCTGAATATATTCAAATTACATGCGGAAATTGCAAAATTGACAAAAAAAATTGTGTGTTTAAAAAAAATCAAAGTGGCGCCAAATTTTTATTTTTCAATATTTTCAAAATATTCTAATGTATTTCCTGCCCGCAGGGTCAACCCCCTTAAGGTGACAGAAAAAATACTTCTTTACTTAATTGTTTCTAATAAGTGTATTAGTGGCTTCATTAGAGATCGAGTTTCCAGAGCACAATTTTTTTGCCGATTTTGTTTGGTTAATTGTTTTTGGCGATAACTTTTTTTTTTGTTTTTATTCTGTTCCATTAGAAAAAATTTATTTGTACAGTCAAACGTTTTTACCATTTCGCTTAAGGGTCCATTCTGGTTAGTTGGGCCAAAAAATAGGCCATTTTCAGAAATTTGTTGTGGACAAACGAAAAGACATAGAAAGTTCAAACTTGTCACATATATTTATCATAGTTTAAAGATTATTTAGCCAAATTTTCAAAAATTTTTAGAGCATGTCCTGAAGCAGGACACAGGGCGACGTAAGCCCATGCCCAAAAAAGGCACCCCTCTGGCGACCATCCTGCAGGACGTAAAAATCGACTGAAACAAAAAATTCAAATATGTTCTTGTTTTGTATGAATGTGGTTATGGAATAGGCTACTTTTTTTAAAATTGAATAAAAAATAAGAAAATGGCGGCGCCTCAAAAATTTTTTTTCGTTTTTTTGAAAAATTTCCTTACTTTTTTGTTGAGTAAAAATCCAATGTTTAAGCTATCAATATAATTGTAGCCTATTCCATGGACACGTTAATTACGCGTATTTAAAAAAAAAAAAATCATTAAGATTCGTTAAAAATTGACTGAGATATTATGGTCGCCAGCCCGAAAAATGTAGTTTTCCAGAAAACGTGTTTAAAGTTTTATGTTTGCTCTGTAGCTGCTTTGAGTCGGCCGGTTCGGAGGCTCATAGCTTTTAAACTATTACGTATTTCGATTTGATCTTTTAGTATGATATTCTACACACTTAAAGCTATCGAAAAATGCAAAAAAAAAAAATTCTATTTTTTTTTTTCAACTAACCAGAATGGACCCTTAATGTAATTTTTATGAGTCTATTTTATGGGTGAACTTTTGGGTATCTTACATGTAGCATAGACGGCTATACCACTGAGAATGGTGGTCTCTTTTATAAAGAGTTATCTTAGTAAATCGACTGAGGCTTCCTTCTCAAATCCTATTTTATTTTAATATAAACGACTTGGTGCTGGTTCAATCACTAAACATATTGATTTGTTTCAGTAAAAATGGGGAGATTGTGTTCTTATGTAATTTTATGTTATTTACAGTTCTCAGCTAAACAGGGCAGAGATGCAGTAGTTTCTGTTTTAATGTGAAGCAATTCCAGATTATAGATGTATCGGTCGATCATCTGTTCTCTACTAAATGCTGTACAGATTTGTTTGTAGCATATATGTATGTACATTGTAATGGCAATAAAAGCCGAAGCTTAAGTAGTCCAGGACCGCTTTTAGATTTCAGGTTGTGGTGTGCGGTGTCGCTTACCCCGCTATCCATATAATATATTCTTCTTGAGCCGTCTTCAACAACCGATAATCTTGCCTGTAAAGTTTGATTAAAGTTATAACTTTATTATTATAATAAATATTTTATTTATATATATTTATAATATATATTCGGCAAAATTTTGAGTTACTGAAATTTGGTCTACAAATTTTTGTATTACATATGAAAAGTAATGAATATCGAATTGATCGTTGGAAGTACTGTTTTGTTTTTAGTTGTGACCTATAAAAACGGTTCCAATTGGCGTGGGCTACACCCATGCTTACGCTTCCTCTAATGGGCGGTTTCGTTTTTGCTTGGAAAGGTGTGGCAAATTAGGGATGTGAACTTTGACACTTAAGAGCCTAAATTCAACTTGGTGCATGCCTATTGCGCCAATTTCTAGGTGCGACGACGAATCTCATGATGCGAACCATAGCGCTGATTACGCAGCTGCACCCGAAAGCGCCGATTATTTTCAATGTCTCGCTCTTCTAGAAGACGGTTAAGATGAGGGACTGCCGGTTGAGGATGTCCTAAGCCGTGAACAACGGCCGGTGTAAGATCAGGACCTGCGGGGTTCGCTATAAAATCCTGTTGTGGCCGCTGCTCGTCAGCATCTTCGTCGTCATTAGGGCTTTCGTAGTCATCTATAGCTACATCGCTAGTTTCCACAAGCGAGTTTCCAGGGCTACCATGCCCTATATCATCTCGAGCCAAAGCGGTGGCCATGAGTCGTTGGCGTCTCTCCTCCATCAGACGGTCTCGCTCCTTGTGTATGTAGTCGCGCTTATTAGGTAGCCCCGCTACATTATTAGCGGAGAGGGCAGAACGGACGATATTCATATCGGTGGCTTCCATCCACTCATCTGATTCAGGTACATAGCACTCAGTGTGTGAAATGGTCGAGACTCCATTAAAGCCACCGATGGCAAAGATCATGTCGTCGATGATTTCCAGTCCGAAATTGCTTCGAGAGTGATTCATTTCCCGAATAAAGTGCCAGGTCTGTGACTCCAGATCGAATCGCTCGCCAGTGGAGAGCCGAGCCGTGCCATTGAAACCCCCGATAACATACAGGTGACCCCGGAATGCCACACAACTTACTCCAGACCGCCGATGATTCATGTTTACTATTCGTGTCCACACGTTGGTGTTTGGATCGTAATACTCGGCACTATCCAGACACTCCTGCCCATTAAATCCACCGGTGGCATAGATACGCCCTTGAAGGGTGCAGGCACTGGCATCCGATCGTTGCATATTCATCGGCGGAATAATGGTCCACTGATTGGTTTTTGGATTGTACCGCTCAACGGTGTTCAGACGGTTGTGTCCGTCGTAGCCGCCAATCGCATAGATCATCCCGTCTAGTTCAGTCACACTCACGTAGCATCGACGGCAGTGCATCGGAGCGATTTCGCTCCATATCTTTTTAACGGCGTCAAATACACGACAGGTATTAAAGTACTCGACACCATCATAGCCCCCAATAGAATAAATTTTAAATCCCAAGACTGCAGTACCGTGGTACGCGCGAGGGCCGGCAGGATCCTCGGCGTTGATGTTTACCCAGCGATCTGCTCGAGTATCATAGGTCTCTATGCAACCCTTTGAGGTGCCACCACTCCAGCCTCCAATCGCAAAAATGACCTCGTGCGGCAACCTCGGCATTGCTAAGGGCGGCGTTGTAAGCTTCAGTTAAGAAGGTAGGTTAAAGGGCACAAATAAGTCGGTGATAAACAAAAATTAAAGTAAAATTACCTCGTCGGCCTGAGATTCTAGGAAGTCCAAGTCATACAAAAATTTAAAGGTGTCGACAATTAGCGGTTTAGCGGCCTCGCACTGGATAACATAAGGGTGCTCCTTGACCTCTTCCATAAAGCACTATGAATTGGAAAGTGAAGATTAGACAAATATGTAAAGAACTATAAAACTAAGAAGACAAAAACATTTGCGGCAGGTTGGAGTGTGTATGCGACAGGAATAGGGACAGGAAAACAGTGCGGAAACAAGAGGTATCTTTAAATCGATATACTTTATTAGATTACACAGGAACACAAAATTAAACTTTGTGAAATTTCCACGAACCATTTCAAGTTTTCCATGATATTTGGGTGCTCCTGAGTAAAAGTCCCATACAAAATTATTTTCCATCACCTACAGGTTCCGCGGTATACCTAAAAATACAAAAAACCTATGTTTGCCGACATTTTGAATTACGTGGCCTATATAATTGGACTTACCTTTATTATTTTTGGTAGGACCTACTCTCAATACATCACGGCACTACTAAAAAATAGTCCCAATCGTGAACCATTGCCCATGTCTTTGGAATTCGACGCCAAAGTTGAAACTCCCAAAATTTTCAGCATTTCTGTGATGAAAAATCAATTCTGAGAATTAAATCTTATATGGAACTAATTTTTAAATATTCATTGAATCTATTGTTCATTGTATTCTTTAATTTCGGTTTAATGCGTTTTCATGAGGACATTTTATTGGATTTATTAAACGAATAAAACAGCTTTTTTGGTTTTATTATCTACTCCTATTTGCTGTCAAATTTTAAATAAGTCAAGGCAACCTATAAAATAGTAGTAGATATGTTTCTTTTTATATATAATATACATTTTTTCTTTTTGACTAAACTTAAATATGTAAGGATTATCGCTGGCTACTAAGCTGTCTTAAAAATGTTATGTTCGGAATAAATTTTTATTTAATATAAAACTAAATTTATATTATATATAAAAAGAAACATATCTACTACTATTTTATAGGTTGCCTTGACTTATTTAAAATTTGACAGCAAATAGGAGTAGATAATAAAACCAAAAAAGCTGTTTTATTCGTTTATAAATCCAATAAAATGTCCTCATGAAAACGCTTTAAACCGAAATTAAAGAATACAATGAACAATAGATTCAATGAATATTTAAAATTAGTTCCATATAAGATTTAATTCTCAGAATTGATTTTTCATCACAGAAATGCTGAAAATTTTGGGAGTTTCAACTTTGGCGTCGAATTCCAAAGACATGGGCAATGGTTCACGATTGGGACTATTTTTTAGTAGTGCCGTGATGTATTGAGAGTAGGTCCTACCAAAAATAATAAAGGTAAGTCCAATTATATAGGCCACGTAATTCAAAATGTCGGCAAACATAGGTTTTTTGTATTTTTAGGTATACCGCGGAACCTGTAGGTGATGGAAAATAATTTTGTATGGGACTTTTACTCAGGAGCACCCAAATATCATGGAAAACTTGAAATGGTTCGTGGAAATTTTTGGCTGTGTACCTGTGTTATTAAAAATCTCCTGGAACTCACCTCTTCCGTTATTGGGGGGGACTTCAGTAAAGCTTTTGACTCGGTTAATCAGTCTCTTCTCGTAAAAAAGCTAGACTTAATCGGGTTTCCTGTCAATCTTCTTAAATGGATTTTGAGTTGAGTGACAGAAATCAAAATGTTCTGTTTAAAAATGGTTTATCCAAATCCCTCAGTGTCCCACAAGGTAGCCACCGCGGCCCGCTGCTATTTACTTTGTTTATCAATGACCTCCCACTGGTTCTAACAAACTCTAGAGTACTTATGTACCGTGTTGCCAATAAACTATGCTTGCAGTATAAGGACAGCTATTGCCAGTCAGACCTGCAATCTGATCTTAATAACTTTCAAGCATGGTGTCGTGCTAACTTATTATAACTCAATAGCTCCAAATGCAGATTGATGATGCTCTCTGGAAAGTAAAACTCTTGTTGACGGTTTGGGTGTTCGCTTAGACCCGACACTATCGTTCTCTGAACATATTTTATGAATGGTTTAAAAAGCCAGAGGCATGATCGGTTTTATTATAAGGTAGTCGAAGGAATTCGATTCCCCTTTTGTAACGAAGACTCTTTTTACTTCTGTAGTACGCCATATATTTGAGTACGGTTCATGTGTCTGGAGACCTCAATTTGGAATCCATATTAATCGTATTGAATCTGTACAAAATAACTTTTTTACTTTTCGCCCTCTGTGGCTTACCCTGGGATGCTGACTTGAAACTTCCGTCTTATTCTAGCAGACTTCTATTGAAGAACTTTTTGTTTTTTTTTTTTTTTTTGTCAATTGCAGTCGTAGTGCGTAGTCTGTGGAGACTTCCACAATTCCGCACACTGCCCTGCGAACAAAGAAGACCCAAAAACAAAAAAAATACGGAAACTGTGGAGAAAATCACACAGCTAACTACAGAGGCTGCGTGGTCTACAAGGAGCTGAAGAGTCGCATGCGACGAGCAACAGCTACACGCCAACAAAATACACAAAATGTGTATTATAATTCAAAAACTACTCCAGAAGTATTTTTTGCCAAAGCAGCCAGATCCTCTTCTGGTCCGCTAAGTGCCCCCACGGGCATCTCCTACGCTGAAGCTCTTCGAACAGGTATGCAAAATCCTCCCCCCTCAAACTCGGTAAACGCTCAGCAGGCCCCAGGGCAGTCACAAAACAACCTGGAATCCATGATGGTGACCATGCAACAAAGTATGATGGAACTCATGTCATTTATGAAAACGACCATGCAAACGCTTGTCCAGAATCAGAATATGGTGATACAGTTGCTTGTAGCACAACAGTCGAAATAATCAATGTCTAATCTACGTATATCCACGTGGAATGCCAACGGCGTCTCACGGCATAAACTTGAACTAACACAATTCCTAAATCAAAATCACATCGACGCCATGCTACTGGTTGAAACGCACCTCACAAGCAGATACAACTTTCATATAAGAGGTTATACCATCCACCGCACAGATCATCCAGATGGTAAAGCCCACGGCGGGACCGGCATCCTCATCAGAGAACGCATCAAACACCATTTTCACCAAAGGTTTGCAACAAACTACTTGCAAGCTACGTCCATAAAAGTGCAGTCAGGTAACGGCAACCATTGCATTGCTGCTGTCTACTGCCCACCTCGCTTTACAATCTCTGAAGGTCAATTCATGGATTTTTACAACTCTCTTGGAGATCGATTTATAGCTGCAGGAGATTACAACGCCAAGCATACGCATTGGGGATCCCGCCTCGTGACCCCCAAGGGAAGACAACTGTATAACGCTCTCATCAATGTGAGAAATAAGCTGGACTTCGTTTCCCCTGGTAGCCCCACATATTGGCCCGCAGACCCCAGAAAGATACCCGATCTAATTGACTTCGCGGTGACAAAAAACATCCCACGCAATTTAATAAACGCCAAGGCCCTTCCAGACCTTTCTTCAGATCACTCGCCGCTGTTGATAACCCTCCTTCAAAGCCCAGAAACTACGGATCGCCCCGATAGGCTGACGTCGCACAGAACCAATTGGATGAAATACAAAAAGTATGTGAGTTCCCACATTGAGCTAGCCCCCCAGCTCAATACTGAAACCGACATCGACTCCTCCACCACCGCACTGGAAAAGGTACTTGTGACTGCAGCCAGAATCTCAACACCACAACAGACGGATGTGCAAAAAATCAAATTCAAAACGAACCAGCAAATTGAACAGCTTATCCAAGAAAAGAGGCGTCTGCGACGGGCGTGGCAAACCAAAAATGCCTACTAAAGCGCATAATTCCTTATCTGGGAGCTCACAACATCATCCCAGCCCATCAATTTGGCTTCAGAGAAAAACATGGAACTATCGAGCAAGTTAAAAGAATAACATCAGAAATTCGCACAGCCTTCGAGCATCGAGAATATTGCAGCGCGATATTTCTCGACGTTTCTCAAGCATTCGACCGCGTCTGGCTCAACGGCCTAATGCACAAAATAAAAACACTTTTGCCGGTATACACACACAAATTACTTGAGTCGTATCTCTACAACAGAGTCTTCGCAGTGAGGTGCAACGCAACAACATCCGGCACCTATTCAATCGAAGCTGGAGTCCCACAAGGAAGCGCACTTGGGCCTACCCTATTTGTTCTATACACAGCGGATATCCCCACAATGACACTGCGATCGTCAGCCGTTCCAGATGCCCAGTCCGTGCAACAGCCCAGCTCGCCAACCACCTCAAGGTAGTCGAGAAGTGGCTATCTGACTGGCGTATCAAAATAAATGAACAAAAGTGTAAGCACATAACGTTCACTCTCAACAGACAAACATGCCCCCCGCTCTACCTGAACAGCACACTGATCCCCGAAGTCAACGTGGTAACGTACCTGGGCGTCCACCTGGACAGACGCCTAACATGGCGAAGGCATATTGAATGCAAGAAACTTCATCTAAAACTAAAAGCCAGCAGCCTCCACTGGCTCATAAACTCCCGATCGCCCCTGTGTCTGGACTACAAGGTCCTGCTCTGCAACTCCACACTAAAGCCAATATGGACGTATGGCTCCCAGCTCTGGGGGAACGCGTGCAGTACCAATCTAGACATCATACAGCGCGCCCAATCAAAAATCCTGAGAACTATCACTGGGACACCATGGTATATTCGCAACGAACACATCCACAGGGATCTCGGCATTCCTGCAGTTAAGAACGAAATAGAAAAACAAAAAGCGTCCTACAAGGAAAAACTCTCCACCCATCCAAATCCTCTAGCAAGGGACTTGATACGAGTTTCCAGAAGAAGCCGCCTACTACGTAACGACCATCCAACCCAGCCATAATTAGTCAGGGCCATCTACTCTGTACCAGTCTCATGACTGCTAGTTAGGTAGTATTGTAAGATTTTATACACTTATTGTTAGTCTCATAAATGAGAAGATTCAATAAATAAAAGCAAAGCATAAAAAAAAAAAAAAAAAAAAATTGCAATATGTTGTACAGTACATATCAAGTGGAACTTGCGACAGCAAGCACGTGCTTGTTTATGTTAGCAGTTAGTAGGTGCGAAGGAAAAAAAT